GCTTCTGCCAGGATGTTTTGTACCTGGGCAATGTTTTAAAAGTGACCCTGCCCTAAGGTGCTCTGAAACAAGGTTCTGGATTTGTGCTGGGTGAGGGCAATCTGGCTGAAATACAGATATTGCTACAGTGAGACCTGCACATCTGTGGTACAGCAGCTCCCATGTAGGGCACTTGGCCTCGGGTGAGCTGCCCAGCATCTCTGGGCCACCTGGGTGCCACCTGAGTGCCCCCATGGGTGTCCCCACAGCCTGACTGGCAGCAGAACCATCCCCTCAGTGTGTGCAGTGTCCTCAGCTCCTTAGAAAGCACAGCCCAGGTCACACCCTGGGCCATGGTGGTCTCCATCCCAGGGCTGTGGTGTTCTCAGTCCCCAGGCCATGGTGGTCTCCATCCCAGGGCTGTGGTGTTCCCAGTCCCCAGGCCATGGTGGTCTCCATCCCAGGGCTGTGGTGTTCTCAGCCCCCAGGCCATGGTGGTCTCCATCCCAGGGCTGTGGTGTTCTCAGTCCCCAGGCCATGGTGGTCTCCATCCCATGGTGTTTTGGCTGGCAGGCACTCACCATGTCGTGTGTGTGGTGGTTTTTACCTGAGCATCAAGAACATTTTGTCAGTGCAGACAGTAAGAGTTGTATTGACTAGGGCAGGTTGAGGGCTCTAAAACAATTTCCTGTTGTCCCATTTCTGATTGTTAAAGTGGTAAAGAACAAGCCAGAGCAATGCAGTAATGGGAGTGAGAACGTGAATGACCACCCTGGGTGCCATCGAGGCTGGGTGAGTCAGACTGAGCTGCAAAGGGCAGGGCCAGGAGCGTGCCCAGCAGCTCCCTGCCTTGCCTCTGCTTGGAGCAGGAGGAGGATGCAGGGATCAGCCCTGGGGGCACCCACTGGAGAGGCTCAGACCCTGCTGTGCCTGCCTTTGGATCTGGGATAGCAGGGAATGATGTTTCTGTGTACCAACACGCCTTGCTTGAGGCATAAAAATAGTATTTTATATCAGCTACAGGGCTGAGACAGTGATGGGTGGGTGGGTAGCTGAAGGTCCCCGCTCTGCCACGGAGGAGAGGCTGCTGCAGGAGCTCTGTCCTTGTGTCTGCTGCCAGGTCAGGGCTGCTCTGGGCAGCCTAGACACATGTTGTGCCCGAGAGCAGGATGGTTTCTGGCTGCAGGGCATGAGATGTGTGCTGAGCACAGAAGGACAGTGACAATGTGCTGTGGAACTCCTGCTGTCTCAGGTCTGTGGATGGTGGTGGCTTGTGCCCCTCTCCCCGTCAGCCTCTTTGAGACTTGTGAACATTCCCTTCCTAATACAAAATATGGAAACAGTGTAAATTAATGTAATGCTTTTCAGCTCCTTTCCTCCCTGCATTTCAGCTGCTGCAGGTTCTGGACAAGCATCCTGATGTCCAAAGCTGATCCTGAGCCTGGCAGAGAGGCACCAGGCCAGTGCTCTTTAATGAACTGCTCTTAAAGCACAGGTGCCTTTCTAGGCTTTGAGGAATATCCCCTTGCAGCAATCAGGGAAGTCCTGCAATTGTTTTTAGCAGTAAAATGTGCCAGTTTGGAATAAATGGGTCAAGACAAGACAAAGCTGCCTGTGCTCCCTCTGGGGTGAGGTTTGCCTTGGCTGTGGCAGTCCCATGGATTCGGGGCTGAGCTGTGCTGCTGGACAGGGAAGGTGAGGAGCAGCAGCTCCCCTGTGCCTTCCCTGCTGGACCAGCCAGCCCAGCACACTCCCAGATCCAGCCTTTCATGTTTGTGGAGAGACTGAAGTGATGTGTGCTCCAGCAACACGCCCAAGGTCACACAGCACAATAAATCAGTGTCTGATCGAGGATGAGAAGCCAAGATATTTCTGTAGCCCCTCCAGCCATCACCAAGTCCTCTGCTATCACAGCCAGACTACACAACTTTGTACGCCTGTAGCACCCTTTTGAAGTTAAGCTGTGGATAAATAGGGAGACAGCAACATTTTCTGGGCAATTTTTCTTTTTTTTTTTTCTTTCTATTTTGCTCAAGTACTTGAAATTAACAGAATCAAAGTATAAGATCATGGGCTTTTAGAGCTCGGTGCTTGTTGTTCTGTGGGTAGGGCTCAGGGCATCCTTCTCTCAAGCTGCTGTAAAGGCAGCTGCCAAAACCCAGACCTCCTCCCCTCCACCCAGCCCTGTGCTCCACATCACTGGGTTGCTGCTCTGATGTAGAGAAAAAGCTGATGTTTTACCCATATATTTTTCAATTAATTGTCTTCGTCTCCTTTTTTTTTTAAAGAAACCCCTTTCTTGGTGTGTTTTTTCTTTTTTTCCTTTTTTCTTTTTTTTTTTTTGAGGTCTGCCTTTTACTCGTTTATTCTCTGTAAGTGTTGAGCTGCTCATATTTTGGTGCATTGTGTTATGTGCCGAGAATTTTTATCAGCCGCCCTAGTGCTCGCATGTGGTGGAAATACCAATGTGTGTGAGGAGCGGAGGTTATGCACACAGATGTACAGAGCATCAGAATGAATGGTCTGCAGAGGGATGGGGAGGAAACCCGGGCTGAGTCTGCACCTTGGCCGCCTTCAATCCATCAGAGCCAGCGTGGGCTCGTGTGGCTGATGGCATTAGAGCTTCCCTGCTGCTCCCAGGGCGTGCAGGCTATGGCAGGAAGGAGCCACACGTCTCTGCGTGGGGAAAGGTTGTGCTTTCTGCGGGCCAGCTGCAATTACAAGCTCTTATCAAATGAAGGAGAAGCCGAGACTGAAAAGCAGCCAGGATCCTGCGGTGTTCGGCAGGAGCCACGCTCGGGTGCTCAGCAAAGGCTGGCCATGGTGAAACTGCTGAATTTGATTTCCAGCTTTGCACTTGGCTGAGCCTGGCTGCTTCCCCGAGCCCTGGTTTGTCCGTCTGTGATGTGGGGGTGAAGCTGTGCAGTCCTCTGGGGTTGTCTGACAGTGCAGGAATGCACGCAGACCCCAGGGAAGGAGGGTTTGCATTCGCCTGGGAGCCCTTGGAAAGGGTTAAACCACCAGTCCATATTTCAGCACTGTAAAGTGGTGTTGGGACGACAGCCCCAAGTCGAGAGAAGGAATCTTTATTGCTCCTATATGAATAAAGCCCCAGCACTGGAAATGACACATTTAATCTTCAGTGGAGTGGACAATCTTGGAGATTTATAAAGCTTCTGTTGTGTGAGAGGTCAGTGGGGATTAAGCAACGAGTTAAAGCACACATATACAGCAGAACCACAAAGAACCTTCCCTCCTCCCCTTTTTCTTTCCTCCCTCTATTCCTTACCCCTCTCTGCAAAAATTCAAGCTTAAATGTCACGTCAAACCAAGCTTAAAACATGGTGGCTTTTAACACTGGCCACTAAAGCCAGGAACCAGTGGCTCTGAGGGCTTGACACACGGACAGCCCTGTTGTGATGGATTTGCTGCCGTCACTGCTTCTCCAGGCTGCTGTTGTGGTGCTGACAGGTGACACACAACCTACTGGAAATTAAACTCCAGTCTGTAGAGCCTTAAAACCGACGGCTCTTTGAGGTGCAGGCGCTGCTGTTGGGGGTAGGATCCCCTCTGCCCGGGGAGGGGGGCAGAGCTCAGCACCCAGCTCAGCCTGGGCTGGGTGGGTGTAAGAGCCTGCTGGAGAGATGGAGGCTTCAGAGGGCTCCTAGAATGCAGTTTATTGCATAGATGAGGTTTCAGCAGTTGGGGGTCGTGGGTGAGTCCAGAGCTTCTGGCTGTAGGCAAGCTGTGTGTCCTGAAACCCAATTCTATTCATGTTACAAAGCATTATATCTATTTCTCTGCTGTGCATCTTATTACATAACCACCAATCAACACCATACACAGTATCTTTTACATTTACATATAACCTATCAAAACTATTAACACTACCATATTCATGTTACTATTTTCCAATCACAAAAAGCTGGTGTGTTACAGATATAGCTAGGAGTTGTTTTTCTGTTTTCTTGTAGTAGAAAATTCTAAAATCTTTACTTGCAACATTGACTTTCTTGTTTGCCTGTAAAAATTCTTTTATTTAGTAAAAACATCTTTTGTTTGAAGTAAATTTATCCTTTGCTCTAAGCCATAAAAAGGCCCTTCCAACTCACTTGCTCTTTGCCTTCTAGTTACCCAGTAAAACCAGCTCAGCAATTCTTTCCTTCTACATCAAAACTCTTCTACATTAAAACTCGCTTTCATTCCTGTAAAACCTTCTGGACATCTGTAAAACTTTTCTGTTAAATTTTCACCCTTCCCAACAGGTGTGGATGTGGTTACTGCACTAGAGAGAGAGACAGCAAAAACAGCAACACACATGGACGGGCCTCTTTAGGGAAAAAAGACCAACTTTATTGAATGGACAGCCTGTATTTAAAGCATGTTATGGAGAGCTAAGACAGGACAGGAGCTCATTGGATAATTGGGAAAAACATCCATGAGACCATACCTTAGAATGTGTCCCACAGAAAAACACCAGGTGTTAATCTTTATTGTGAATTCCATTCTGTTTTGACCAGATTCCATTCTGTTTTGACCAGATTATCATCCTGGGAGAATTTCTCCCCAACTGAAGCTAAACCAGTTTATCAGCCTGGGAATGGAGCTTAGAAGCTCCAGCCTGGAATTAACTTTCCAGGCTGTAATTTTCCCAGCTTTCTAACGGTGTGCCCACATGTGGGCACTGCCCAGTTGTTGCCTCTGGATTCCATCACCTTCTGATGTTCTGATGTTTACACATTTGTCCAACAGTTCTCATGCTCTCTCTGGTAAACAAGAATAATAGTTTACATTCCTCAGTGGAGGAAGAGAGCATCTGACTGATGGGTGAAGAACCAATGAGGCCAAGAGGTCTGATCTTCACCTGTCCAATCCTCGACCATTCTTAGATGTCTTTAAATCGAAAATAAAGTTCTGTGTTCCTGTTCATCCGGCCTGGACTCAGCCGTGTGTGCCCGCCTCCCCCTTTCACAAGCAGAGGTCTCCCCGTTTGACCGTGCCTTTGTGTTTCCTCCCCGCAGAGCAGAGCGAGGGTTTGCAGTGCCGGGAGGAGTGCCGCATCCTGGGCCACTCGGACCGCTGCTGGATGCCCCGCGGCGCCGTGCCCAGCCGCGCCAAGTCCCCGGAGCACGGCCGGAACGTCATCGCGCTGTCCATCGAGGCCACGGCGCTGGACGCGGAGCCTTACGCAGACTGCAGCACAAAAAGGACCTTCGCCACCTTCGGCAAGGAGGGCGGCGAGCCCCCGGCCGACGAGCGGCTCGCCAACGCCAAGGCCAAAAGAACGGTGGACTCGGCCGCCTGCAGCCCCAAGGTGAGCGGCGCCGTGCGCGAGGCCGGCAACGGCTGCGAGGCCGTCAGCCCCGTCACCTCGCCCCTGCACCTGAAGAGCCCCTTGGCCGCCAAGCCAGCCGTGGTGCCCTACGGGGCCGGGCACTGCCGGGAACGGGAGCCCTTTGGGAACACTGGCCCTTCCCGGCCCACGGAGGCAGAGCCCCGGGGCGCGGACAGCGAGAGCGGCGGGCAGGAGGGCAACCCGCTCCTGCAGGAGCGCCGGGAAAAGGACTCGCCCGGAGCCCGGAGACTAAAGGACATCGTCCTCTGAGCGACACGTGGCAGCACGAGGACGAGGACGAGGACGAGGACGAGGACGAGGATGAGGATGAGGGACCGCACGACTCCCAGCGCAGATTGTTTTTATCGCTTACCAATGGTTCACAGATTGCTGTATTTAAAAGCTTTCCCTCAATGTATTGTTTATAAATGGAGCTATCGTTCATGTGACAATCCCACGTGTCTGACAGGCGGCAGGGGTGTGCAGCCAGAGCAGCTGGTGGTTTTTTTTGCCAGGAGGTGGCGGGTGGTGGGGGCAGAGGCCAGACCCCCCCCGCCCAGTCCTCAGGAGCGCTCGGTATCCCCTCCTCGGAGTTTATATATTTTTGTATCTCAAATCGAAGATAAATTTCCATTCCTGGAGAGAATTGAGTGGTAAATTCCTTATTCGGACACCTTTAGTAACCACCCCGGCGGTTTTGTAGTGTGGACAAAGTAGCGGCTGTTTCTTGTGTGCGACTGTTCAGAGTGACAGTCGGGTGAGTTTCAGCTCAAATTCACCCAGCACGAGGTTGTTTGTATTTTAAGGTGTTGGTGTTTTGCTATGGACACCCCTGCATTTATGAATCCTTTTGCTGTCACATACTTACCTGTACTATTATTGTATTTGATATTGCAAATTACTGTATGTCTAGTGATGGCAAAAGGCTTTCAGGCTTGAAAAAAAAAAAGAATAAAAAAAAAAACAAACAAAGTCACAATCATCTTACTTAAACTTTGGGGAACCTGCAGTTTGCACCCCGGTGGAGCAAGAGCTTCTTCCAGCCCCCACCGTTGCCTGCAGCCTCCCCTGGCTCCTGCAGGAAAATGACAGGGCATTTTGGGAAGGCGTTTTTGGGAAAATCCTGCCTGGATTGCAATTGTCGGATGCACTGTGCTGAACTTTTCCCCTTACCCGTTTCTTTTGCATAATTTCAAGGCAATGCATGGAAAGAGGGTGTTTTTTTGGGTTTTTTTTTCCCCAGAATTGGTTATTTTGGTTTTTTTCCAGTTCCCAGATTTAGATATCCCTCGCCTCCAGTCATTTCCAAGTCAAAGAGATGGAATTATTTTAAGAGATCTAAATTACCTTCTCAATTAGACACACACACTTCCAAGTCAGCGTTTCCTAGCCATGATTATGCCAAGAGTGTGTGTGTGTAGGTATGACATCATGGCATGGATTTGAGACTGTTCAATTTCTTTCTATCCCTGCATCATAAATAAGTATGGAATGAGCAATAGTGATGTTAATTTAGGGGCAGACAGGTGATATGTAACAACGCTACTAATTCAATTTATGTGCCTTCTTAATGGAGAAAAAATTAAAGCAATTCTTTATTTTTTCTCATAATTAAGGACTTTTTTGTGTGGGTACAAATCTACTCATATAAAATTGATTTGAAAATTGAGCTACTTTAATAGCCATTTTGTAGAAGGGAGAGAGGGAAGGGATTCCACAGCTCTCTGCTCTCTTGCAGTGATGATTCCTCAGTGAGGTATGAGTAAGGTAGGAGGACTTCAGTTAGTGTATTACTATTATTATTGTTATTATTGCTATTATTATTAACCCTTCACTGAACAGATTTTTCCTACCCTCAATAATGTTTCCTAGAACTTAAAATTGATTATGGAAGGAAAAATATATAGCTCTTGCCAATGTTTGCTGTACCAGCAAGTTGAAATTAGTGGTTTCTAGAGAAAGAGTCTTTCTAGGTCTACATATCAAGATAAAGTATTTGTTACTTGATTTATTTAAATGAAAAACAAAGAGAAAACAAGTTCCAGTTGTTATTATCCTCAAAATAAAATTAAACTCCAGCCATTTATTTCTTCAGGGCAGATTGACCTTGCCTGAAGCCATGGGTCCAGAGTCAGCCTGTTCCCCCTGCCACTTGTAGGGCCAGGAATTGGGAAAGAATCAACAGAAAAAACAGTTGTGTAATGAAATTTGTGATGCTTCCCTCACTGGTGTGATGACTACCTCATTCAGCTCCCATCCCACGCGTTACCATGATGTCCTGCATCCCTCCAGGAAGCAAACTGGGGCTTTTCTCCCCTTTTCTGGATGCTGAGCCCATTTTTCAGGGATATGTTGTTTCTGTTCCCGCTGTGTTTCCTGCCTGTGTACTGTTACTGCTGTCATTTATTTCTGTTTTTTTTGCCCAAATGTGTGTTTTATTATAACACAAGCAAAGAGGAGAGGGGCTGGCTCGGGGCTGTTGGAGTAACTGGGTGTTCTGTAACTGTTAAGCTGAGTTTATTCTGGTGTTACCTGGTTTTGTCAGCTCTGGGTGGGGTTTTTTTTGGGGGGGGGGAAACTTCTCCTGAGTGTTTGCTGAGAGACAGAGCCTGCAGTGCCCCATCAGTCAGATGCTCTTGGCGTCACAGGGCAGTGACTCCGTGTGGCAGAGGGGACCCAGCTTCCCCATGGCCCATGGAGGGGTGGGGAGTGTGTGTGTCCCCCCCACCAGGTGCCTCATTATCATCATCATCATCATCATCATCACCATCATCATCATCATCATCATCATCATCATCATCATCATCATCATCACCACCCCCAGCTGCCTGGAAAAGTGCCAGCCCTTAATTCCTGCCCCCTGCCTGCGGAGCTGCCACCACCAGCCTTGTGCTTTGGATGAAAAATAGATGCTAACTGAAAAGGAAGAGAGGAAAAAAAAAAAAAAAAGAAAAAAATAGAAACATTTCTCTAATTTACCCAGAGGAAACGTTCCTTGCCACTCTGAATAAAAGCACAGCCGAGAAAGGATGTGAAATAATTCTGTATTAAAAGGGGGCATTAAAGAGGTCAGTAAACCCTTATGCCTCCAAGAAAACCATTTAAACACCAGTTTTCTGGGCTGACCCAGGCTGCAGTGGGGGATGTGAGCGAGGGGCCCTTCCCTGGTACAGCCTTGCTGCGTGGGGCCAGGGGGACACCCAGAGAGCAGCCCTGGTTTTGCTGCCTTGGCCCTCTCCAGAATATTTTGGTACTCCTGTCACTGTCCCTGTGTGTCACTCGAGATGAGTTCAGGCTCCTGGGCAAATCACAGTCTCCTGGTTTTTTTTTCCTACTTGCATCAAAACTGGCCATGCAAAAAATGTTCTGAGCTGCAGGGCGGGCAGGAAGGCTTTTTGGAAGGGTTCCAGATGTAATTATTGTGCTCTTTAATAACTTAAACCTGTCCTCAGATTTGGTTTAGGAAAAATCGCTGGGATCTGTTGGTTTCCTTCAGGCAGACTTGCTCTGCTCCCCTGTTTGTCCAGGAGAGCAGCGAGCACCGACGATTGTCCCCCGAGCATGACGAGGACCCCATCTGGAGCAGCTTTGGGGCTGGGGGCCAGGGCCTGAGCTCCTCCCTGCTCCCCTGGGAGCCCCCTGGCCTCTCCCACCCTCCAGGCTGCAGGGCTGGGCTGGGAGGGGTGGTGGAGGGCTGGCGGGCACAAGTGATGGCTGGAAAAATCCTCCCCCCCAAGCACTGTCTACTGAGGTTGTTGCCGTTCCCTGTTTGTTGTGAGCTGGAGGTGACCTGTGGATCACACTTCGTGCAAAAGTGAAATCCTTTCTTTTTTTTTTTAAACTTTTATTTTTCCAAATAGGAAACGAGTTGCTTTTGTGAAGAACACACTGTCTGATGAATATGTTGAAATTCTTCTTGGGGGGCGGGGGGGTGGTGGGTGGGGGAGAGAAGGAAAAAAAAAAAATTCTAATTTTGAATGGAAACACATTTGTCTGTCGTTGGGGAAAATTGATGGTCTTGTTGCTCCAGCTGCTGTTGCAGCTTTGGGTAATCCCTGATCCAACCTGTGAGCTGCGGTACCGCCGGGGAGAAACGCAGCCGCCCCCGCTGCCGGCTCTGCTGAGACTGGGACGGAGCCTCCGCCAGCATCAGCTGATGTTCAGCTGATGTGAGCTGGGGAGGAGGCTCCAGACACCCCTCCCAGCCCGGCTCTCAGCAGCAGCCGCCACCCCCGGCAGCCCGGTGGCCGCGGGACCGAGCGCCGTACGTCTCGTCATGGTGTCTCCGTTGCCGAGTATATGAAGAATAAATTGTTGTATATGCTGATATGTATGTTATGTACATTTTCACAGTGATTGAATCATTGTAAACAGCAAAATGGAAAAAGGAAAAAAAAAAAAGAATCACCATTCTGTCTATTTTATGAAGATGATAAAGCAGCTTTATTAAATTATTATGATTCTGTTTCCAAATGGTGTACCTGCCACATTGGGATTTTTTCATCTGATGAGAACTTTGTTTTCCACCTAAATGTGATTTTCTTTTCTCTGCTTTGAGCATCTAATGCATTTTAGTATTAAAGCAATTATTGAATAAAATGGAAAGTAAGTGTTTGGTTAAATAAGCCTCAGTGGGTTTGCTTTGATGGCTCCAGGTGCTGGTCGTGCAGAAGCCAGCACACATCTGGGTGCCACCCCAGCCCTGTCCCTGTCCCATGGCTGGTCAGCTTTGGCACCCAAGAGGCTGCAGAGCTTTGCTGGTGCTGAGGAGGGATCATCACCATCCCCATCTGTGATGAACTGGGACGGGCAGGCTCTGAGCCCCCTGAGCTGGGCACAGTGCTGATCCTTGGCACTGCCACCTTCACACGGCTCTGAGAGGATGAGCTCGGGTAGGAAACACCTCCAACACTTCTCCACTGGGGCATGGCAGAGAAGACTTCATTTTCTGTAGTTTTTGAGGAGATGGTGAGGAGCATCCTCTGCCTCTGGATTCGGTGGTTCATGGATCACATTTACATTCGGAGCATCTGAGCACTTTGTGGCTAGCGGGATAAATGCTCCCACAAGGTCTCTGCTCAGTCAGGGTGACACCAAGGTGGAACTGGAACAGGAACAAGAGCAGTGACGTGGGAAGCCTTTCCTTGGGGTGGGAAGATGCTTGAGCTGCACAGCGAGATCATCCTGCCTGACAGGGACACACAGGGACAGAGGCCAGCTGCAGGTAACCACACCTGGGTGAGGCCCCATCACTGGAAACCAGCAGGGTCTGACTGGCCTGGGGTCAGCTTTGTTACAGGTGTGTGGCAGTGGGCCCACAGGTGATGGTTCACAGCCAGCACCTGCAGCCTGTTTGCTCCCTCATGGGCAGGTGGGTGAAAGGAGGTAAAGGCAGGCTGTGGGAGGGAGGTCGGTGCTGATTTGAGGGGATGGTTTGCAGCAGGTCTGGGGAGCAGTGATGCTGTAGCAGAGCAGCTCCTGTGCCCAGGGAGGCACTGGGATGTTGCA